GAGATGTCCGTGATGATGTCAACCCTTTCGCGAGGCGACATAACGTTGCAGAGATGGAGTACGAAGAAGATGAACACCATAGGCGTGTTCGAAACGACGATAATCGCTGGGAAGCTGGCTTCAAAGTCGACATCCCAGAGTTTCATGGCGGAGTCAAGGGAGATTCATTGATTGATTGGCTCTCGACCGTTGAGGAAGTACTCGACTTCAAGGGTGTTCCCGATGATCGACGAGTCCCCCTCGTGGCGACGAAATTTCGTAACCACGCAGCATCGTGGTGGCAACAGCTCAAAGGCCACCCGTTCGCGCAATGGCAAAACTCCCATTCGCTCGTGGGATAAGCTCAAACGCCAACTTCGCAAGACGTTTCTTCCTCACAACTACGACCGTATGACTTACACGCGATTGCAGAACCTGAAACAAGGCTCGCGTTCGGTGGATGACTATGCAGAGGAGTTTTAACTGCTATTAACAAGGAACGAGTTGCGTGATAGTGAGCTACAGATTGTCTCGCGTTTCATTGGCGGACTTCGGCCACAACTCCAAAACTCGTTGTCTCAATTTGATCCTACGACAGTAGCTGAAGCTCATCGTCGAGCAGCTTCTTTCGAACAACAATTACGCTCTTCATCGTGGTCATCTCTGTCACCAAAACTCCGCACCCCGGATCTGCCATCAGGATCAACTATTTCATCTCGAGAGGAAGGAGAGGGATCGCGTTCCCAATCCATTGTTGACGATCCGATTCTGCGTTGCTCGTCACGACCCAACGCATTACGTTGCTACTCATGTGGAGAACCGGGTCACCGTCAGACTGCATGCCCTAAGAACCAACGTAAAACACTCCTCATTGATGATGCAACCGACACACATGCTCCGCTATATGATTCTCAAGACCATGGCGATGATGCCGCTGACGTTTCTCTAGCCCTGACGCATGGGGACAAAGGCACGTTAATGGTGCTGAATCGAGCGTGTTTGGTGCCCCCTAGTAGAGGTGATTTGTGGCTTCGTACGAACATCTTCAAATCCACTTGCACTATCCTAGGGAAGATATGCTCATTCATTATTGACTCTGGAAGCTCGCGAAATATCATTGCACAAGAAGCCGTGTTTAAACTCGGCCTGCCTTATGAACAGCATCCTTCACCTTATGCGCTTACATGGGTGCAAGATGGTGTCGCAGTCCACGTCACGCATCGTTGCTTGGTTTCGCTTTCCATTGGCCCCCATTACAAAGACTGCTTCTATTGTGATATTGCACCAATGGATATTAGCCATCTGGTTCTCGGGCGACCATGGGAGTTTGACCGTAAAATCATTTATGATGGAGCTAAGAATACTTACAGTTTTATATGGGAAACACATAAGATTCTTCTCTTACCATCGCGTGAGCAATGGTCTTCTTCTTCGCCATCGTTGCCCCCTTCATCCACAACGCCATCGGTCCAGACGCCCCTACTTTGTTCCTACAGCGCCTTTGACGACTAGTTCAAGCAAGAGGGTCGTATGTTTGCTTTGCTCACGATTCCGGCATCGCAGTCCCTGTCACAACAAGCGTCAGGTTTTACAAGGATATTGGAGGACTTCCATGTTTTTCCTGATGAGCTTCCTACGAAACTGCCACCCTTGCGTGACATTCAGCACCAAATCGATCTGATGCCAGGTGCCTCGCTCCCTAATAGACTTCATTACAGGATGAGCCCTGCCGAACATGAAGAACTAAGACGACTGGTCGAGGACTTACTCAACAAAGGTCATATTCGAGAAAGTTTGAGCCCCTGCGCAGTTCCAGCATTGTTGATCCCGAAGAAAGACGGTTTGTGGCGCATGTGTGTGGACAGTCGTGCCATTAACAAGATCACAGTCAGATACCGCTTTCCTATTCCATGCCTCGATGACCTGCTGGATCAAATCGGTACTGCATCTATCTTCTCCAAAATAGATCTGAAAAGTGGTTACCATCAGATACGCATACGCACGGGCGATGAATGGAAGACGGCATTCAAAACTCGCAAGGGTCTATTCGAGTGGCTTGTCATGCCCTTTGGTCTATCCAATGCGCCTAGCACATTTATGCGTATTATGAATCAGACTTTACGACCCTTTATTGGCAAGTTTGTCGTTGTCTACTTTGATGACATCCTCATCTTTAGCTCCACAGCAGAGGAGCATGCACAGCACTTACGTGAGGTCTTGATTGTGTTGCGAAGGGAGAAGTTCTTTGCCGCCCGGCAGAAGTGCGAGTTTGGTCTCTCACAGGTTCTTTTCCTTGGGTTTATAATCTCGGATAAGGGTCTCTCTGTCGACTTTTCCAAAGTTGAGGCAGTTCGTTCATGGCCTACTCCTCGTACGGTTACGGAGGTTCGAAGCTTTTATGGTCTCGCTTCATTTTACAGGCGTTTTGTCCCACATTTCAGCTCGATCATGGCACCCATTACCAGTTGCATGCGTGATGGAAAACTGGTGTGGTCTCCAGAGGCCGAGGAAGCTTTTCTCCTCATTAAAGAAAAGCTTACGACGGCACCGGTTTTGGTTCTTCCCGATTTTTCTCTCACCTTTGAGTTGCATTGTGATGCGTCTAAGCTGGGGTTGGGGCCGTTCTCTCTCAACAAGGTCGTCTGGTGGCCTATTTTAGTGAGAAACTGGCAGGTGCACACGGACGGTACAGTACATATGACGTCGAGTTCTATGCCATTGTACAGGCCATCAAGCATTGGCGTCATTATCTGGTGCATCGCGAATTCGTTCTCTTCACCGATCACGATGCTCATAGACATCTTGACAGTCAGGCGAAGGTGTCTTCTCGACATGCAACGTGGATAGCCTTCTTGCAGTAGTTTACCTTCTCTACTCGACATCAGTCGGGCAAGACTAACAAGGTCGCTGATGCACTTAGCCGATGTCACTCGTTGCTAACGACTCTGCATACTTCCATCGCGGGATTTGATTCTTTTTCAGAGTTGTATCATTCCGATCCATTCTTTGCATGTGCTTGGGCCGACGTGGAGGCTGGCGTTGCATCTCAGTTCTCACGGCAGGAGGGTTTTCTTTTCTTTGGGTTACGGTTGTGCATCCCAGAGTGCAGCCTACGCCTTAAGATAACTACAGAATTACATAATGAGGGGCATGTGGGCCGGGACAGGACGTTGAACCTTGTTGCAACCTCTTACTTCTGGCCTACATTGCGTCGTGACGTCGAGAGATTTGTTTCGCGTTGTCGCGTTTGTCAGCTGGCCAAAGGATCCGCCTCTAATGCCGGTTTATATATGCCTCTCCCTGTTCCTGATCAGCCGTGGTCTCATATTAGCATGGACGTCGTCCTTGGTCTCCCGCGCACACAACGGGGTAATGACTCCATCTTCGTGGTCGTTGACAAATTTTCTAAGATGGCTCATTTTGTGGCTTGTAAGAAGACATCTGATGCTCTTCATATTGCTTCGTTGTTCTTCAAAGATATTTACCGTCTGCATGGCTTACCAACGTCAATTGTGTTAGACAGTGATTCACGTTTCTTAAGTCATTTCTGGAGGTCGCTTTGGAAACTCCTACGCTCTTCTCTTGATATGATTACGGCTTACCATCCTCAGTCTATGGCCAAACGGAGGTGACAAATCGTTCTCTAGGGAACCTGTTACGTTGTCTTGTTGGTGACAATATCAAGAGCTGGGATGTCAAACTGTGTCAGACGGAGTTCGCTCATAATCATGCCACCAATAGCAGTACCGGCTTGAGCCCGTTTCGTGTTGTTTATGGTATCGTCCCGCGTTGTCCATTGGATCTTGCGCCTGTGCCGGATAAAACTCGTTTGCAGGGACACGCTGTGGAGTTTGTTGACGATCTCATTCATGTCCATCGCTAAACAAAAGAGAGCTTGGAGATTGCAAATGCGAAGTACAAGGAAATGGCGAACACCAAGCGTCGTGAGGTGCGGTTTGAGCCGGGAGATCTTGTGTGGGCCGTACTGACGAAGGATCGTTTACCTGCCCATGAGTATAACAAACTCAAGTCACGTAAGATTGGTCCGTTGGAGGTCTTGGAAAGAATAAATGATAATGCCTATCGTTTACGGTTGCCTTCTCATGTTCGCACAACAGATGTTTTTAACGTCAAACACCTTTCTCGCTTCCGTGGTGACAATCCGGGTGCAGATTCGAGGGCGAATCTTCTCAAACCAGGGGAGATCTGATGTAGCACCATTTTCATTACTGTCGAGCCACACTACCAGACTTGCTTGCTCGACAAGTAACCGTGTTTTCTAATATGTTTTATTAATTCTTTTGTTATCAGATAATTACGTGAGATAAGTTTAGATCTTTTTAGGATAGGTTTTCAAAGATCCTACGTGATCTCGTTCGTTTCTATTTAAAGGTGTTCTCGTGTTGTAAGCGACACAACTTGATTATTGATTTGGTTTTCACAATAAAGAGCTTTTATAGCGCTGAGAAGAGCATTCTCCTCCTCTGTTTTCAGCTTGGCAAAACAGAGTTCGTCCCCCTGTTCTTACTTATCTTCCGCTTCCGCTCCCCTATCACAAACACTAGTTAATTAGTCCGTCCGTATATCACATGTGTATAGGAAAACTAAACTATCTTGCTGATAGCTTAGTGAACTATGCATTTTCACTACCTTTGGGTTTTCATGTTTTCCACTTTGTTCCTTCTAGTGTAGAAGCAGTTTTTAGAGATGATGAGATAGGGACTTCGTGTCCAAGACAAATGTACGTGTAATTGGGTTGTGTTTGAGGACTTTTGAATAAATTTGGGAGGCATTGGTTTCCCAACACTTGACCAAATGGTTTTTTTCACGTATAAAAATTGGCGTTTAAGTTGAGTTTGTTTTATTTTATTTTTTGGTCAAGTTGAGTTTGTTTTATGTTAAAGCGTTTAAGTAAGAAAAATCACTAAATTTTTGTTTAGGTAAGAAAAAGTACTACACGATTTAGTCTGATTGGAAAAGACCTGTTTCTCCAAATAGAACAAAGTTTCTTCTTATTTTTTCTTTGGGTATAATTTTCTTCCTTCTTTGTTTCCTTCTTAGATCTTCATATCAATCACAATTTTGTTCTACGTTACAAAGTCTACCTATGTAGACAAAACTCTTTGGTGTTATGTACATATTTAGTCGTTATTACACATTGATCAACAAATCACAAAAATAGACTATACATCGGCATCACCACACATTGGCAAAGCAAAATACTCGCGGCTAAGAGATTAACAAGACAGAAGACAAGAGAATGAAAATCTATGCCTCATTGGCTTCTGATACTGTTGCGGTGAAGGGAGGGAACCATAGCTCTACACGAGTACCACCAGCTCCTACGGCTGCATCGGGGATGCGAGGTGATATAACTCTGATCACGCATCCGTAACTCTCCAGGATCTCTCGGGCTACCGTTAAACCCGCCACAAAGTTCCATGTCATGTTGTCTTCAACCATGTTTTCCGACAAGAGTTCTGCTCCAAATGGTGTTAGCGAATGCATCTGCGTCTGCATTGATGTAACACTCTTATGTTAAGAAGCAATCACTCATATTAAACAGCTACGGTTTCAAACATAAAAGCAGGAGTTAAGAGAGCAGAAGAAGATGAGTCTGGTCTCGTTTACCATATAACGCATATCAGGACCATCGTCATCAATCACTACCAGACTGCCGCCAGCAGGAGCTCTGGTCGACAAAACTTCAACTTTTCCACCAACATGAGTGCGCAACAGTGCACCTTCAATGAGGTTGCTCAGAGCCTGCCTCAAAGCAGGTTCTTCAACAGCAACTTGTAGAGAAGCTGACTTTTCGCCGAGCTCCACTACTCTTTTCTGAGTAAGGGCAAGTGGTCTCACAGTCTCGACCATATCTAAAAGCACATTAGAAATGTCGCATGGTCTTCCTGACATAAATGCAAGAGATAAGCCCTCCCAACATTATGTTTCGTAACAAGTCATTAAGTTAATGACTCGGGAGCTTATACCTTATGCTGTGTGTTTGTACGGGTGCAAGGGCCAGAGGTGGCATAGGCATCTCTGAATCATCTGATCCAGAACTCAGGGAAAGGCATGTACTTTGGATTTGTGACCCATCAATGGGGTCTTTGTGTTCATATTCATCTGAATACTTTGATCTCCTCGTTTCACTATGTGTTTTGTTTATCTTCTTCAGGGCTTCCTCGTTGTGGCGGACAATATTAGCCTGCAAATGATATGCTTAGGAATACACACTTCAAGAAAATCATCTGTTTAAGAAACTCCCATGCTCAACGCATCTAAGACAGATTTATGAAGACATATCAACAAAAAGAGTACCAAAAGAGACAAAGTAAGAGAAGGTGGAACCTTTGTCAAATGAACTGCATCCTGAAGTTCTTGAAGGGTATCTCTTATTTGTTCGCCTTGAACTATCAAGTCTTCGACAATATCATGTGAAATCTACAAGGTACAAAAACCCAATTCACTCCCATAAATGCAAGACTCGGGGAGAAATAGAACACTTCCGGCCAAAGGTTATTGCACGGACCTGGCTTCTTTTCGTGTGAGTTGAAAGCATTTTACTTAAAGTCCTGATGGTAGAGAGCGGACCACGGATCTGCGAAAGAGCAAGAAAGAAAAAGAATGATATAAAACTAAAGGAGACGTTAACATAAGATCTATGTGTACTAAGCTAACAAGTGTGTGACTCATACCTGCTCCACTAACTTACTCATCCTCACATTGTTTTGCCAAGATGATTGTTGAAGCAGCATTGTTTTCTAAACATACTCATAAAAAAAAAAGAAAACAACAGTGAGAATTACAGATAAAGCCAAACACACGCAATCGCAAACAAAAGAAGAGGACAGGATATAGGAACAACCTGATCCATGACATATGCCATAGCGAGAGTCCGTGAAATATTAATGGCATAAGATCTCTGCTCTGCAGTGAACACCTTAACAGACGGAAGCTTAACTTTTGGTGGTTTTGCATTAGCTGAACCAGGCAACGCATAAGCTTCCTCAGGAGAAGGAAACTGCTTTAAACCGCGAGGTTTCTCCTCTTCCTCCTCCTCCACCTTCTCCTCCTCTGCTTCTACTGGCAACTCAGCAACCAAGAAACCAACAACAAATGGGTGTTTCACCATTGGAAACACTGCAGCTCTATGTTTATTCACAACTTCAACCTATTGTAGAAGAAAAACGATAAGTAAACTCCAATTTTAGGCAAATTTGCAGAAGAAGAAGAAGGACGACATACTTGTTGACTGGAAAGTGATGCTTCAGCTGCTCGCAAACCGGCGGGGATGCCAAAGTTTCCGACTAAGATCACGACGTCTCCGGCATTAACACTTGGGTAACATGTTACACGGCGCAGCTCTAAACGATCCATCACGTAACTACCAGCTGGTCTTACATATATCTGAATCAAAACTCAACGGCAGAAACAAAACCCAATTAATTTTGCGAACACTATTTTCCGGCGAAATTGGATAAGGAAGAACAGAGACGCACCGAGAGGACTGCGTTTGGATCCACGATTCTACGAAAGAGATCTAATTGCTCGAGGCAAAGACGCTGGAAATCGGGGCTTGGCAAGATGATCTTCGTCTTAAGATGGTCTTTTTCAATCACCTGTGTGAACTCCACCGGAGTCGTTGAAGCTCCACGAATCGCGGAAGCGATAGCGGAGGCTGACGCAACCATGGTCTCTCCTCCGCCGACGCTGCCTGCGGAATCTGAAGCTCCATCGGATGCGGTGTGGTTCACGTAACGGATACCGCGTGAGGGGAGGGTATATATAGAAGAAGGCGACGACGAGGAAGACGCATTGAGTAGCTTCAGCGAGGAATTGGAAGGTCTAGGGTTTGGAATACAAGTGCAGAAGATTAAATTGGGGTTCGATGAGAGAAGGGTCTGAGAAGCGATTGCAGAAAGAAGCATCACTACGGAAGACGACAGTCGGAGTTACTTGTGGCTGAGACTGAAACTCCACGAGGAAGACGATGATGATATTACGAATGATTACCATTTCCACCCAAAACGACTAACCCTGAAACGGCGTCGTTTTTAGCAGGTGGATATTTTTTTGTAAAAACAAACCGAACCAAACCGGAACTAAACCGAAACCAAACCAAACTAAATTACAAATGTGTTTTTTTTTTGGGTTAAAATAGTTTTCTATAGTTCTATTTCTATAGAAACTCTATAAATTAATAAACTTTATAATTTAGTAAAAAAATTTATATCAAGTCTAATTGATTCAAAATATAATATAAATTAATAAAATAATAAATAATAACTTTTTAAAAAAATTATATAAATATACAATCTCATTATTATCATAAAAATTATTATACAAATAATCTTATATAAATATAAATATATAATCATGAAATTTTATTAAAATATGAATATATAATTTTTTGTTTTTATAAAAATTGAAATAATGTTATAATTCATGTATAATTTAAAAGTGAAATGTTTAGAAAATATCATTAATTTTTTTTAACAAATATTATTTTTGATTAATTATTAATAAATAGTTTATTTAATTCAAAAACAATAAATTAATAAATATTAAAATCTCAATAATATTAATTTATATATCTCTTTTGGAGAGTTTAATATTAAAAAAGTAAGCAAAATTCAAAAATTCAAAAGAGAGAAAAAAAAGTATTTCAAATGACAAATGAAAACCATTCTAAACTCATGAGATACTCATCAATACTCATCAATGCACTTATCATTTTCTAATTAATTGAATTGATTTTAAACATTAAAATGTAACTGTATTTATTAAATTAAACTATAATAATATATTTTATACTTTAGATATCCGTAATATGTAGTATTTATTTATAAAGAAATAAATATTATAAGATCTGTGCTGACTGTGCATATAGTATTTATTTACATGTCTAACTTGGAATCAACCTGTGACAAGCATCACTTTCATCCATTCCTTTTTCTTGGTGGGGTTAACGTTTTTCTTTGTTTTATATGATTTCTTCTTTAAATTTCGCACCTTTTTTTTGTTTGTATCTCTGACTATTATATATCTTTATTTATAGGATAAAGTCCCGTGACTGAGTTGATGCTTTGTTACTTTCCTCTTTACCTCTTCGGCTTTCACCAATGAAGTCAATCATATCTTCTTTGTTTGCTCTCTCTCTGCTTTCTTCTTCATTTGCATCATCGCTATTATCAGCGCAATGCCATTTTCCAGCAATCTTCAACTTCGGTGACTCTAACTCCGACACCGGCGGTCTCTCCGCCGCTTTTGGCCAAGCTGGTCCTCCTCACGGTGCTTCCTTCTTCGGCCAACCCGCCGGGAGGTACTGCGACGGTCGCCTCGTCGTTGATTTCATAGGTAATAAACTAATAATAATACTCTTTATGTTGTCACGCGTTTGCGTTTTTGGCTGATTTGTTTCCTTTTTTCTACACAGCGGAGCGTCTAGGATTGCCGTATCTAAGCGCGTTTCTTGACTCTGTTGGTTCAAACTTTAGCCATGGCGCTAACTTCGCCACGGCCGGATCTCCGATCAGAGCTCTTAACTCCACTCTTCGTCAAAGTGGGTTCAGTCCATTTTCACTTGATGTTCAGTTTGTTCAATTCTCCAATTTCCACAACAGATCGCAGACAGTTCGCAGTCGCGGTACGACTCTTTCACTCACTCGCTTCCATCTATGAGATAATATATAGATAACGAATTTGAGTAATGGAAACACGTTATTGAGAGACTCATAAAACGATAAAATGTGTGTGTTGTGTTTTACACATTAGTATCAGTAACATATGGCGGAATCACGTTTCAAATAGTTAAAAAATTTAATGGAAAAATAGCGTTTTTCACGTTTGGCCAACATGAAATGTCACAGGTGGAATTTACACGACGATGCTGCCTGAAGCTGACAGCTTCTCTCAGGCGTTGTACACTTTTGACATTGGTCAGAACGATCTCACGGCTGCTTACTTCGCCAATAAAACCGTAGAACAAGTTGGAGCCGTCGATGTTCCTGAGATCATCAGCCAGTTCAAGAACGCTGTCACGGTCAGCCTCTGTTTCATACTCTGTTTCAATGCATGCTTTTGCTTAAAAAGGAATATAATCATCATAAATGTATTTTTTTTTTTTGGTTTTTGGTGACAGAATATTTACAAACAAGGAGGGAGATACTTCTGGATTCACAACACAGGACCCATCGGTTGTTTACCGTATGTGATTGAATGGTTTCCGATTAAAGCATCAGACTTTGATTCACACGGATGTGCCTCTCCGTTGAACCACTTGGCTCAAACATTCAACCACGCCTTGAAGCAAGCTGTGATCGAGCTTAGAACTTCTTTATCTGAAGCTGCCATCACTTACTTAGATGTCTACTCTGCCAAATACGAGTTATTTGTTCACGCACAGGGTCACGGGTTCAAGAGATCGTTGGTTTCATGTTGTGGTCATGGAGGGAAGTACAACTACAACAAGCACATTGGGTGTGGGAAGAAGGTGACTGTGAAAGGCAAAGAGATTTACATTGGAAAGCCCTGCGACGAGCCTGACAAGGCCGTGGTGTGGGACGGTGTGCACTTCACGCAGGCTGCTAACAAATTCATCTTCGATTGGATCGCAACCGGATTAAGCATGGCCTGTCAAAGGCAGTGACAAGAACATTTTTATGAGTTTGGTTTGTTCTGAAAGTAAGACACGTGTGTTTTGGCTGTCACTGATATGAAACTTAATGAGAATCCAATAAGATTTTTGGTGGAATAGGTTCATCATTATTGTCAACATGAATCTACGTTGATCATTATTAAGTCTCCAAAGGATATGAAACATAGGGAATGTAACATTTTTTCAGCATTTGTAGTGGTCTAGATCAATGATCACCACTGTGATATCATCCACACTTTCTCTACTCACGACCAAGTCCACGAGCTCTTTGCAAGCCGCCTTGGCCCAGGAAGACTCGGCGGAGTTTATCTTCATCCGCTTCAACGCTGTGATCATCGGTGACACTGAAGGTGGACTCTCGCTTTCACGGCGGGTTGCTTCATTCTCTGATTGCTTGACAAGCGAAACTCGCCGGAGTCAAGTTCTCATCGTCGCTTTCTTCTCTAGTCGTCTTCCTCTGAGCTAGCAACACGGTGTCAACTGTTTCTTGATTGCTAACAACATCCCAAAGCCCATCAGAAGCTAAGACGAGGAACTCCATATCTTCTTCCAGTTCGAGTATTCTTGTGTCCGGTTCAACGATCACCCATTTCTTTAGGTATGAATCTCCGATGCTTCTGGAAACAGCCAGTATTCCAAGAACTCGCCACGACCCTCCTTTGAAGGGGACAAAACCTCCCTATAAAGATTCAAATAACAACAACAAATGACAAATTTCTTTACAAACTCTGCAGCTTTCGCACCTCCATGACCATCATAAACTCCAAAGAAACTCTAACAAAATCAATCCCCACCAACAAAAACCCATTAAACACAAAACCACAACAAGATTCCAAAACAAGGAATCGACATATATATATACCTTGTTTGAGCTTCCAGCGAGGAACAAGGAGCGATCCTGTGAGTGTCTTCCATGAACTTCCTCCTGCCTCCGAAGCTTACGTCGTCGTTTTGGCGAGGTGAGACTCTGAATAGGACTTGACGCTTGTTCAGGACACTGAGGTGCAACGGGGGAACTATCGGTCTCTTAAAAGCCGACAGCTTTGTGACCAATGACGGTGAAGCATTCGAGGGTGCTTCCTTGCTCTGTCCACTTTCCATTTTTTCACCTGAGAGTACTGTGAACATATATTGTCATAGAGCAATGAGAATGGAGAAAGTAAAATGGTAAAGTAGAGACGCTTAAGGGTTATATGGCTCAGTTAAACGCAGCACGAAGAAAGTTCACTTTCATACGTTAAGATGGCCAATCGGAAATTGGAGAAAGAAAACAAGAAAAGATAAGATATGTATGGATTGTATAAGTTCGTAAACGAATTCTTTCTATTCGTATGCAATGGCGGATTCAGATTTCTTTCTTATTAATCATTAAGAATACTAGGGTTGTGAACGTGGACAGATGAAAGCTTAGTTTACCACCCAATGAAAAGCATTCATTGTAAAAACTGATTTTTGGGTGGATAAATTTTGCATTCAGCTAAAAAAAATTAACAATTTCGCACAAAAATTAGTATTGTTTGAAAAGTATTCTTGCTATTAGTTGACAAGCAGCTTTAATAAAAAAAGCTGATGTGTCGCAACCAAAAGAAAAGTTAGTGTAAATTAACAATGATTTATAAATATGAAATGACAAATTTTCTAAAATAAACGAAATTTTTTAATTGTTTAAATTAAAACTAAATAAATCTTATTTTTAAATAAGAAAAAAAATTATATCATATGTGAATGCATAGTTTGCTACCTAATGAAAAGCATTCATTGTAAAAACTGTTTTTTGGGTGGATAAATTTTGCATTGAACTAAAAAATTTAATTAGTTAAGTAAAAACTAAATAAATCTCATTTTATAATAAGAAAATCATATGTGTATGCATTATCATTATATATCAAGAATTCGAAATTATAAATGTAACAAAAAAATAAACGGATAGAAAAATAAATTATAAGTATCCTCTTAACAAACTTTTTTTTATAATATTGTATATATGAATAAGAAGTAGAAGTAAAAGTATAAATGAATCTTTACGACTTTGATTTTTGTGGAGAGACTTAAGAGAATTGATTTGGCTACCTATGTCACCAAAGTGCACTTATCTTTTCGGTCACTGGTCCCGAGAGAATTTTACAGTTAAGTGTGTTTGAGCTGGAGTAAGACTAAGTTGGGTGACCTTTCGGGAAGTAATTTCTGAAATCGTGTGGGTGAGGACAAAACACAGGGAAATATCACGTGGTGATTGCAGGGTCAATATTTCATGACTATCGAGCCTCCCGAATAATGCACCGGCCATCTGACAGGGGTGGGGCCCACAGGCCCGAGAGAGGATGTGGGTGTGATCACTGGTAGGGGTGGTCAGAGGCATTAAAATTTGGTATTAAAACCGAACTCAGACGAGAGTGTAGAGACACTAGGGCTCACACCGTCGGGGTAACGGTCCTGGTGTGCAACGAGGACGTTGTGCTCAGTGAGTGGGGGTGAATTGTAACATCTCGATTTCAAGAGTATGAATGTATATTTGGAGATGCTTAAGAGAATTGATTTGGCTACCTATGTCACCAAAGTGCACTTATCTTTTCGATCACTGGTCTTGAGAGAACTTCACAGTTAAACGTGCTTGAAATGGAGTAGGACTAGGATGAGTGATCTTTCGGGAAGTGATTTCCGAAATCATGTTAGTGAGGATAAAACACGGGGAAAGATCACGTGATGATTGCAAGGTCAGTATTTCATAACTACTGAGTCTCCCAAATAACACATCGACCGTCGGAAAGGAGTGGGGCCCACGGGCCCGAGAAAGGACGTGGGTGTGTTCACCGATAGAGGCGGTCGGAACGTTACAATTTGGTATTTAAGCCAAACACAGACAAGAGTGTAGAGTCACAAGGGCTCACATCACCAGGGTAACGGTCCTGGTGCGCAGCAAGAATGTTGCGCTCAGTGAGTGGGAGTGAATTGTAACATCTCGATTTTAAAAGTATAAATGTATATGTGGAGAGGCTTAAGAAAATTGATTTGGCTACCTATATGACCAAAGTGCACTTATATTTTCAGTCACTGTCACGAGAGAACTTCACAATTAAGCATGCTTGAGTTGGAGTAGAACTAGGATGAGTGACCTTTCGAGAAGTGGTTTCCAAAATCGTGTGCATCAGGTCAAAACACGGAGAAAGATCACATGGTGATGTCAAAGTCAGTATTTCATGACTATCGCACCGGCTGTCAGACAGGAGTGGGACCCACGGGCCTGAGAGAGGACATGAGTGTGCTCACTGGTAGGGGCATTCGAGGTGTTACATGTTAACCGATATATTTTACATTGCATCAAATAAAAAATATATCATATGTGTAAAATTTCCAAACAAATGTGTTATATATAAGCTCTCTTAAGATAAAATTTAATTCATCAGAGAAAATAATGAAACATAGAAGGATATTTTCAGTAAGTTTTTAAAACTTTTTAATATTTTTCAATCTTATAACATTTGGTTACTAAAAAATTATATAATAATCTTACTTAAAGTTAACTTACTAATATTCTATAATTCAGTGATTATTTAAATCATTCATCTATACTTTTGGGATTTGTGTTCAAAATAAAAAATACGAGTTAAACTATTAGAATATAAAGTATATAAATCTTTATCTAAATACTTTTAGACACAATAACTATTAAAAAACTTACTTAGGAATATCATGTAAGAAAACTTTGAATATGGACATTTTGAAACAATAACAACAAGGTAAAACATTTATTTTTCACAAAACTATGAGTATGTAAATTTGAAAATATTTCATAATAAAAATCAAACAAATCTAAAAATAGCAGCAAAAATAATTATTTTATAAACATACAACAATAAATATTGAAAGATAACGACTGATTTAAGTACAAAAGTTAATTTAATGGTAACAATAATATTATTATTTGTTTATCACTAATCACAAGATATAGTTATAGATATTTTGTTTTATAACAACTTAAATTTCAGATTTAAGATCGAAGAGAAGAATATTACGTAATTGATTCATTTTTATACATTATATTTGTAATATTTAATTTTTTTATTATTTTACCCATCCTAAATCAAATACTACCACTTATTTAAATGTTGAACAAAGAATTGTAAATATTAACAATTAATTTGCAAGTAGATTTCTTTTCATAGATTTGTTTATATTGTATAAGAGTCGAGTCAAAGAGATTTTTGCCAAGAAAATGCAATTACAATTAATTATGAATATATTCGATCATATTAATATAATCAATAAATACTTTCAGCATTTGGAGAGATTGATACACAATGAGCCCACAAATCATCTCTTTTCTTCAAATATTGGATTTCGTTTGCAATTAAGTGCGGCCTGTCTGAAATGTATTTGATAAGCGTATTGTGACACACTTTTCCTTCTTCCACAAGATCGTGGCAACATGCATCAATGATAGTTCCATTTCCAAAGACAACACCGATGATATCCAATGCACATTTAGGAGTGATTTTAAGAAGACAAGTATCCCACAATAATTTTGCTTCACCTTCTTCAACAGAGTAAACAGGAACAAACGCACACACCAACGCAAAAACAAAAAATAGGATAGTCATTTGTGAGATAGTTTTAGCCATATCTATTTTAAAGTTTAGAAATCAGAGATTTATTATTATGGTAAAAAAAATCAATTGAGAATACTTTATATTTGTTATTTTTAAAAAAGATATGTGTAAACTATTTATAATTAATTTAAAACACAAACATAACTATCAAAACGCTTTTGTATATCAACGTCATAATTAATACAAAATAACACCATGATAATAACTCTATTAATGCTATAATTATTATTTATTACATCATTTAATTCAAAATAAAAAATATCCGTAAATTTAGAATTTTGGTCGACACTTAAATTACATCATATGTTACTAGGCTAATACATGTGCATATGCATGAGTTTTTCTTAATATTGGATTTAAAAATAATATATTTGTATATAAATTTATAAAAAAACATTCTTACACAACCTAATTTGATATATAGATTATTTTATAAATATTAAAATTTATAAAATTTGTTTTCCCATCAAAAATAGTTTATAAAAAAGTGAAAGAATTAACATTGATTATCATTAAATAACGGAAAATCAACTAAGCTAGAACAATTTATTTTGTAATTTTGATAAAGGTTTTTTTTTAAAAAAAAATGAAATATTTGTTTTAAAAAGAGAATCCAAAAAGAATTGAAATTACTGTACTGAGAAAGAAAATAAACAGATGTACAGCCCACCAAAAAGCATACTACTACATAGCCCGAATCGGTTCTATATTCCTAGTAGAAAATAAATAGATTGTTTATCTGGCTTTGTACATAGGGAAGGGTCAAAATCTATCAAGTTTGGAAATAACGTTGCAACCAAGATAAAAGCTAGAAATCAATTGGAGATGGTATCAACAGTAAATCACTCATCTTGGGACTCTTGTTCATCTGGTGCTTTTTCAGCTTCTTCTTTACTGTAGTCTCAATTTTGACTCCTCGATTTCCGACTTTTAAGGCCACCCCTGTTTTGAGCGATCAATTTTCAAGTCTTAGAAAAAATGATATATCAAAAACTCATTATACAAAATGGCCAAAAATAGATAAAAAAAACTCATTAAGTCTCATTGTATAAAAGCGTCATGATTTGCGTCAACTTCATATGAAACTCGAGAGTCAAGCAAATTTACCAAATGCTCATCAATATATTTTCTAGTCTCTAAGGGTTAAGATTTAAACATGACAACATCCTCTAAAATCTAAACATATAACGTAAATCGATTCCACGGCCTTATGATCGAATGAAAAAAAATGAACCTAAGGAAAACAAAAACTATATTGACTGGTTTAATTAACACAAGCGAACCAGTAAAAACAGCTATTCTATGTTCCATTTTATTTAGAAATTCATATATATGAAAGATCAAGAAAAGTAAACTGGTCCTTGGACATGTGAGGTCTTCTGAGATTTGGGTTTGATCCATGTGGTGTGAAATGAAGATGAATATAATATTCATCTCTCTCTAACGTAATAGTCTATAAGCATTGCTTGAAGTTTAGCTAGTCCAAGTGTTGAG